AACCCCATCCTCAAGGTGGGCCCTGGAGATCTTAATGGGCCAGGCCTGCGCGAGGGGTGAATCGCGCAGGGCCAATAGGACTGTCCTTGAGTATATTAAAATGTCCACAGTCAAAGGAGGAAGGAAGGGGGGGAGGGCAAAGATGTCCAATTTCGGCCACACCCACGAGTCTAGTCTCTGGAATAGTTCTTAAGTCTTATTTTAGTAAGTTTCTCAGTTACATCTTTGATTTTTGCTCCTGGGAGATAACGTGCTTCCCTAGCTCAGCGGTTCTCATCCTATGGGTCCGGGACCCCATTTGGGGTCGATCGACCATTTCACGGGGGTCGCCAAGCAAGGCTGTCCACCATTTTTTCCCCTTTTCCGGCGGGTGCCTTACCTCCCTTGAGCTGGGCCAGCTGGTCGTCGGCCTGCTCCGTCTCTGCCGCTTGCCAGCTACGCCTCAGCCTGCGCAGGGGGCAGAACCACGCATGCGCGGCCCACGCGGAGCAGCACAGACAAAGACATGGCAGCTAGGCAGTGTAGACAAGACTCTGCCCTCGCCCCATCGTGCACAGTTGATACTGCGGGGCGTGAGCAGAGGGCGTAGCTGCCATGGCGCTGCTGGGCTGCCTGGGTGATCTTCGGTAGGCCTGGAGGCGGTGAGTGGCCCTGTGGGCAGGCAGGATGGGACGGAGTGTGGGCGGGGCAGGAGTGGGGCCAATTTTTGGGCACTCGGTCTCTAAAAGGTTCGCCATCACTGATATATGGGATCTTTTTTTTTTAAAGAAGCTGTTTGCTCCCTATTGTGTTTAATTTTGATGTAGTTTTCTTCTTTAGGTTGAGAATTTTCGCTTTGTTCATTGAGTTCCAGACTGGCTAGAGTTGCTTCTAGACCCTTTACTTTTTTCTTCTAGTAATTCATATAATTTACATTTGATACATATATAGTTTGAGTGTTCTGTGGGCATACAGTAAGCTCAAACCTTTGACATAATTTGCAAGTCACTACAATGTCAGTCTCTTATGTCCATGATTTTTGTGTTGTAAATAAAATTTTCCCCGTTGCGAATTGTCTATTTAACAATAGTTTACAAATGTTCTTGACCCTGACATCCCTCAGCCCATCTTTCAAGAGCCGATCGGGCAGTGGGCAGTCAGTGAACCTGCAAGCCAGTCGCGGAACCCCTGGACGTACTCGGCCACTCCTCTCCATCCCTGGCGAGTGGTCTTGATGCGATCTCTAGCTTGATGGCTGGCCAGGGGGGCCTTGAACCGCTTGCGGGGCAGCGCCATGAAGCAGTTGAAGGTTCTCAGCTCCCGGGTATCATCATTGGGGAGAGAGACTGTCCACTGCAAAGTGGCCCCTTCCAGAACCATGGTGACCCATCTCACTTCGGCACCTTCCGTGGTTCTTTCTGGACCTTACTCCTACATGTAGGTCCAAACCTGGGCCAAGAAGAAGCTCAGTTGCTGGGGTCCCTGTTAAATTTCACACCCACCAGTTCTGTCTTATGACCCCTCCTCCTCATCCTTGCTAATCCTGCAAGGGTGGCCCATTGAGCTGCCACCCGATGCTGGGGACACAGAGATTGCTGCTGTTGTGGGGCCGGCCACGGTCCTGTCTTCGGTGGCAGATGTTTTCGCCCCATCAGCCACTGCGGCTGGAGGCGGAATCTTAAGTTTCCCACGCAACAAGACAAAACTATTTCCTTCATTTCCCAAACCTCCCACCATGACCAGTTCAACTCCAGCCAATGTGATGCTTCCGAGATATTCTGAGAGCGCTGAGGTGTTTGGGCTGGTAAATTTCCACACTCGGAGTAAACGCCCTTGAAGATGCCAGACACAAACGGGTTCCATGTTGATCTGCTCTTCCTCAGCTGTCATTCCCCCCCTACACACACACACACTAATTCCCACAATAGGTTTATTGCCCATTTGTCCCTCTCCTAGTCATTTGATGGCAGGACGCTTGACAGGGTCCTTGGGAAAGAAGGTGGAAAGGGGAAGCAAAAAAGAATCTGGGTTTGGGGAGTGCTGATGGAACAACTGGGGGGGGGAGGGCTGACCCAACCTGGCTTGCTGCTGCAATGTATTTTGCAGATACCCTTCATGACAGTTTGATGTATTTTGCAGATATCCTTCATGAATGTAGACCACTAAAACTCTAATCTTATCAAGTGGTCGGTTGTTGTGTACTTTACCAAATGCCTTAGTGAAGTCCAAGTAAATTATGTCCACAGCATTTTGCTTGTCACTTTGTCAAAGAATGCAAAAAGATTTCTCTGGCGTGATCTGGTAGTTTGATTATGTTTTAGTGGGGGTTTTGTATGGGGTATTTTTAGAGCAGGCCTGTTATTTTATTTGATTTTAGACAGAAATTTGTGTATATTTATTGTGGTTTTTATTATCGCCTGTTTACCGCCCTGAGTCCCGTAAGGGAGATAGGGCGGTATATAAATTCAATAAATAAATAAATAAATCTGTTTTTGACCAATCCATGCTGGCTCCTAGTTTATAACTTGGCTTGCCTCTAGGTGTTTGCAGATTCGTCGCTTGGTCATCTTTTCCAGAATCTTTCCAGGTACTGATGTCAGGTTGATAGGTCTGTGGTTTCCTGGAAGCTTGTTAAAAGAGATCCAACCTAGAAGTGAAGAGACATTTTCTGACGGAACAATTAATCCATGGGATAGCTTGCCTCCTTGGGATTCTGCCTGCTCCATCACTGGAGATTCTCAAAAATGTACTGAATAGCCATTTGAGCGGGATGATATAAGCTTCTGCCTTGAGCAAGGGGGTGGACTAGAAGACTTTGGAGGTCCCTTCCAGTCCTATGATTCTGTGACTCTTATGAAAGCCTATTTTCCAGAATCACTTTATTTCAGCTGAGCAGACAGAGATATTGTAGCTATGCTCCTGTGATGGAGATCACCCAACGTGGAAAACTGACCGTTTGGGATTATTTTTAAACTTGGTTTGGTTTGTCATGATCTGGGGAGTCCTATGGCTAGATGAGTTTGTCAAGTTTGAAAAGCTTTGCTAATTTAGAGGTTACGGATGCTATGTGACCCCAATCCATAAAAGAAAAAAAGGATGAGCCCGGCCTTTTAACATCAATAAGGAATGAAAGATGGAAGTCCATCAAGATCATGTGAAGTGTTAGTACCCCTTTATGCTGCTTTGGTAGGACCACACTTGGAATACTCTGTCCAGTTTTGGTCACTGCGATACAAGAAGTACATTGAGATGCTAGAAAGCACATAGAAGGGCAACGAAGATGATTAGGCTAAAATATATGATGGACGTTTGCAGGAAATGGCTACATCGCTAGCCTAACAGAGAAGGATTAGGGGTGACATAATAGTAGTCTTTGAGGGGCTGCCACAAAGAAGAGGGGGTCAATTTATTTCCCAAAGGCATCAGAAGGCAGGACAAGAAGCAGCGGATGGAAACTGATCAAGGAGAAAAGCAATCTGGAATTAAGAAGAAAATTCCTAACAGAACAATTAATCAGTGGAACAACCTGCCTCCAGAAGTTGTGAATGCTCCAACGCTGGAAGTTTTTAAGAAGAGACTGGACAGCCATTTGCCTTAAACTATACTTAAATTATGCTTGAGCAGTACATTGAACTAGGTAGAAGACCACCAAGGTACTGTCCAACTGAGTTATTCTGTAGTTCTGCAAGTCCCTTCTGGGATTTCTTCCAAAGGAAATTCAGGATTATGCCTTCCCAGTGACATGGGGGTACGCTGTCTCCTTGTTCATTGGACTTGGTCGTTCTGGCTTACAAGTAAGAATAGACTTGTATGTTCAGCCAGAGGGTCACAGCTTCTCTCAAGAGAAGCCTATCCTCCCCTAATACAGTCCAAAATACTTGATCATCAATTTGGATCCAAAATGGTGGCAGCCTTAAACATTCAAGGAACCACCCAAGAAACTTTGATATTAAAAACTAGCATAATGTGTAAATTGAGAAGCATCTGAGACACAAGGGTGCCATCTGAGGGCAGGACCCAATAAGCCATGCCTAACTTCTCCAAACAGGAAAACCACCACCGTATGAGTGTATATGTGTGTGTGTAACTATCAGTAACTAGACCAGGGGTAGGCAACCTTGGCTCTTTTATGACTCGTGGACTTCAACTCCCAGAATTCCTGAGCCAGGCAAGCTGGCTCAGGAATTCTGGGAGTTGAAGTCCACGAGTCATAAAAGAGCCAAGGTTGCCTACCCCTGAAGTAGACTGATCCAGACTCAATAGACAAAATGCACTGCAAAGTCAGATAATTAGTTTTTAACCCACCCCCCTTTCAGTGGGTGGTGGGAGACTTTTATTTTACAAAAAGGAGAGATTCCAAATAACAATAAAAATTTCCAAATCGGAGCCAAAACAGGTCACACCTTTCCCTTCCTTCTAAGCACTCACATTTGACCAGTTTTTTCATCTTTTCCTTTGCTGGACTGAAAAGGGGGGGGGGGCTCAGCATGTCACGTGAGAAGCCCAAATTTCCAACTAAGTTTCTGTCCAGAACATTTGGACAGAAATGGATCTTCCGAGTTGGGGGGCTATCTGAAGACGCTCTCAGTCCTAAAGGCAGTGGAATCCTAGATCGGAAGGGGCCTTAGAGATCATCTCGTTCAACCCCTGCCCAGGTGAGAATCCAACACTCCTGAACCACTGATAGATGGACGTCGAGAACCCCACGAGGCTTCTCCCACTTCCCAGGACAGCCTATTCTGGTAGTAAACTGCTGTTGCCGTAAGAATGATAATCCAAAATCTTATTAAAATCCTGATCATTTGAACCATTGTTTCTTGTCCCACTTTCTGAAACAGAGAAGAAATGAAACGCCAATCCAGGATGAAGGCGCAGAAGAATCACATTAACTGCATGGAGCTTGGATTGATAGCTTTGGTTTAGGGGTGTTTGTTTCTCTCTAGTATGCAGGCCTAGTGAGATGGAACTACACAATCAACCCAACTGAAAATGGGATCTCCTGCCTGGGTTGCCTCACATAGGACTGTTTCTCTTGCTCCAAGACAGCAACAACACCTTTGTAGCTTGAAAGCGTGTGTAAACACATGTGTACAGTGCAGCTATGTGCACATACAAGGCCTCACTCCCATCTCCTCTGCCACGTCCTACAAGAAGAAAGTACAACCACGTTCAATGGCTAGATTTCATCCTGTCCCCCTGGAAGAAAGCATTTCTCTAGAAACGACAATCCTGCAATCCGGAAAATTGGGGAAAAAAAATCAATTGAAGGAACACAACAATGCGTTACTTCAAACAAAGGTCCAACTAAGGGAAGTTTTGTTTTTTTCTGGGTTGATTGAAGACATCTGTTCTGATCACTCTGGATCTTTTTCTCCTCCTTTGATGAGAGGTTCCAGCAATTTGGGGTCTTCAACTAAGAGTTCGAGAGTGTCTTCGCCTGCTACTCGCCTCACTTTCTCTCCTTTGGCTGCGAGGATTTCCTCAATGTTCCTAATTCACAAAGAAAATTGTGTTACGAAGAAGGCTGGGAGCATTAGCCGGGACTGAAGCAAAAGCCTTGCTTTGTGCACATCATAGCTGCCTCTAATGCAAGACTGTAAGCAAGAAACACCCCCCCCCCAGGTAACAATGACTGCACAGTCATTTGCCGTAGAAAAAACAAGCAGAAATATTTTTTGCTCTTGGTCTTACTTTAATTACATGGAGGCTATCTTACGGGTTGCCCGTTTTGTTTATCTGTTTCATTATTCTTTCAGCCTTCACTTGTTGAGAAAGGGCAGTAACAGCCAACAATAATGGAATAAAAGGGTTTCTGTGGGATTTTGTCACATAAGGCAGTGGTTCTCAACCTGTGGATCGGGACCCCACTTGGGGTCGATCGACCATTTCATGGGGGTCGCCAAGCAAGGCTGTCCGCCATTTTTTTTGTCCGCCATTTTTTTCCCCTTACCTCCCTTGGGCTGGGCCAGCTGGTGGTCGGCCTGCTCAGTCTCTGCCGCTTGCCAGCTACGCCTCGGCCGGCGCAGGGGGCAGAACCACGCATGCGCGGCGCTCCCGGGCAGGGAAAGTCCTTGACTTACGACCGGTTGGGTAGTCCTCGACTGACGACCGGTTTAGTCCTCGACTTACGACCGGTTTAGTCCTCGACTTACAACCAGTTGGGGTCACGGCATTAAAAAGGTTGAGAACCACTGACATAAGGGATCCTGGCTTGGTGCTCGTTTTGCAAGCCAAAACAACAAAGATTTGTGGATTATGAGTTCTGATGTGTCCATCATGTCAGTTCTGAACTGTTCCCAGGAATTAATTCCAACTTCAGCAGGTGAAGCATCAAACCCTGAAGAACAGAAAGGAAAGAGCAAGGATTGCATACTCACCTTTTCCCCTCCAAGTCAGAGAACCAGCCCAAGTTATCAGCAATCACATGATGGTTGTTACACCCGGAGCATTTCACTATCACGACTCCATGATGGTAAGCCACCTTGGAAATAGTTTTTGCAGATCGTGTCCTGCACACCTGAAACAGAAACCAAGTTCCATCAGGGACGTTTCAAAGTGGTTCTCTGGGATATCCCAGGGCAGGGAAATCGAGGGAGGTGTCCGTTTGTTTAGGTATGACTTCTTTTATTACATTTGGAGAGCAGCCCAGCTCTCAGTGACTCACCGGCAAGGGGAGCCCTCCCATTTGCATGGCCTGCTCAGTTTGGCCAGACTTGTTGATTTGAAACGAGCCTGTCGAACCAAGACACATCTTGGGATGCGCAAAGTCAGGGGGAAGCAGGTCGTGTGAACAGGGCCTCAGGTCCCGTTGGGTCCTCCTTTAGGTCGTTCTAGGCCAGGGGTCTTCAAACTTGGCCCTTTTATGACTTATGGGCTTCAACTCCCAGAATTCCTCAGCCAGGCATGCTGGCTGAGGAATTCTGGGAATTGAAGTCCAAAGTTAGAAAACAGCCAAGCTTGAAGACCCCTGTTCTAGACCATCGCACGATTCATCCCTTCCCTCTCCCAGCTGATGGCACAGAGCACAAATAACGCCCGCAGCCTCCTTCTCCGTTCCGCCAGCTGCAAAGATGGCGCTCGTGGCCTCCCTCTCCGTTCCGCCAGCTGCAAAGATGGAGTCCTCGGCCTCCCTCTCCGTTGCGCCAGCTGTCAAGATGGCGTCCGCGGCCTCCCTCTCCGTTCCGCCAGCTACAAAGATGGCGCTCGCGTCCGCCTTCGCCGTTCCGCCAGCTGCCAAAATGGCGTCCGCGTCCTCCCTCTCTATTCCGCCAGCAGCAAAGATGGCGCTCGCGGCCGCCCTCTCCGTTCCGCCAGCGGCAAAGATGGCGCCCGCAGCGCCACTCTCTTCTGCTTTCTCCAGCTACAAAGATGGCGCCCGCGCCCCCTGCCTGCGTTCCGCCCGCTACAAAGATGGCGCCCTCGCTTCGCTGCACTCGGCCGCTTCCAATCGTGGGCGTCCTTCAGGAGGAGCGGCGCCCCCCACGCGAACCCACCTTGCACGTGAACACCAGCCGGTACTGCGCCGCCGCCGTGGCCTTGGCGAGATGGTCCTCCTGTTGCGGCCGCTCTCCAGGGCCCAGCGTCAAGGCCCGTCGCCGGGAAGCCGCGGCCGGGGCTGAGGAAGCCGTTGCCCCCCGCGCCGGCCACCTGCCCAGCCCCCGCGCACCGACTCCCGCGGCCCCCGGGCCTTTGCAGTTGCCGAGGAAGCGCCAGCGGGGAGGCCGGAGAAGCGCTTTACAGGCCGCGGCCGCCATCTTTGTTGAGGGAGGCGCCGCGGCCTTTCCCGGCCCTTGACGTACAGCCGAGCAGCAATGCCGCTACCGGCCCCCAGGGGGCAGCAAAGGACGTGTCTTCGCGCCCTCTGCCGGCCCTCGGGAGCCCTGCAGCCCAGAGATGCTCGCAGCCTGGCTTCCTGCCAAGGAGGTGGGGGCACTGGCTGGCCCTAGATCAGTGTTTCTCAACCTTGACAATTTTAAGGCATGTGGACTTCAACTCCCAGAATTCCACAGCCAGCATTGCTGGCTGTGGAATTCTGGGAGTTGAAGTCCACATGCCTTAAAATTGTCAAGGTTGAGAAACACTGCTCTATACAGTCTTGTCCAGCCTACCTGGGCAGGTTGTTGTGAGGCAATAATCTAGGG